ACGGAAAAATTTGTAAAGGTACAAAAAGTGTCTTTGGAAAATAACAAATGGAAATGCAATGATGCAACTGTTCATATGAAACGGTGAATCACTTCTATGTTTCATCATTTTTAGTTTCTTATTTCACATCTTCGTCTTACCTCTTCATTCCACTGTATTTGTAACTGTTTTTTCATTCCACGTTCCGCGATAACATCTTTTTTCATATCTCCGTTCGCACCATTGCAAGGAGTCAGACCGTCGAGATCCCTGCGTTAAACGTCGTGCGTTGAAAAGCATCTCCTTGTATTGCGCAATTTTATTCAGTTTTCTGGTGCGTGAACGTCAACATCGAGGTGCCGCCGACGCTCCTCATGAATATTTAATTTTTTTTTGCCTATTCTGCGCAAGACGTCGCGAATCTTGTCGCTGACAATGATTTTGATGCTGATAGTCACTCTGATGTGGAGGAACAGTAGATTCCGACGATGAGGTTGCAGTTTAAAAAGTCTGAATCGCAGTTTCGACTTTAATACGGTCGAATTTTACTGAATTTAAAATCTTCTCTGAATCGTTTTCTCTGAATCGTTTTATCTTTTCTTTGCCAATTCTGTTTCCCATAATTTCATGTCATTTATTTTTTTCGCTAGTGTTTCACGTCATTGTTCAGTTTTTCAAGTTCGAATGCGTTCAATATCTTACTGAAATCTCCAAAAATATAAAGCAGAGAAAACGCAGCGTGAATACCTCCGTTTGAATGAAATTACCTTTAGTGTCGACTATTTCCTTCATTTTATCTATCTTTTTTCGAGTTTCCATCTTCTCTTCACTACGTTATTATTCCAAATTTTGTTATGTTGAAGGAAACATGTGTTTAAAATGTAGAACATGTCAATAGGTTTTTTAAATGCGTGAATGCCTAAAGCTTACACGTTTTCAATGTTTACCTATTTTTAAATTCATTTCCACGATTATTCGATGACATCGCTATTCATTTCCACATTTGTTTCATATACACTTATTCGAATCATTCACGTGATTTTATATTTTCTCTCTTTCACGTAATTTATCATTGCGTTTATATCTTTTGCAGATGTACATCATGTTTTTTCGAGAAACATGTCAATAGGTTTTTTAGGGAAACCGAACAAACTTTCGTCACATTAGATGCGTGAATGCCTAAAGCTTACACGTTTTCAATGTTTCCCTATTTTTGAATTCATTTCCACGATTATTCGATGACATCGCTATTCATTTCCCCATTTGTTTCATATACACTTATTCGAATCATTCACAAGATTTTATATTTTCTCTCTTTCACGTAATTTATCATTGCATTTATATCTTTTGCATGATATTTATTGCCTTTGTTCGTTTTTCTCTCTTCCTCTTTTACATGCACCGTTTGACGCCATTCCATTACATTTATTCTTTTTTTCTTCTTCGTTTACGCACAATAATTGGAATCATTTGAATGTCTGCGTTCTTTTGTCATATCTAATACAATTCTTTTGTGGATTAGGGCGTTTCTGCCGACTGTTCGCTTATGTACACAATTTTTTGCATATTTTATATTCTCCTTTGTAATTGGCATTTCTTATTTTTTTGGTAGTTCAAAAACGTTTATTTGTAACAGGTGGGCGACAATTGGAATTGTTGGGTGGCCGATAATTGGAATTGTGTGTGGGCGCCAATTGCAATTGCATAACACTTTGCACGTATATTTTGGGTTTAACTGTGTGCTTATTCTCTTTTCATACACTAAAAGTCACATGGGCGACAATTGGAATTGCAATGTTTATCTTCCCTATTTTCTCTTTGATTTTTTTTTTGTAATTAGAGGGTGGGCATCAACTATTTTGGGACGGATGTCACAGTGTGTGTGACAGGAATTACACCGCCGTATATACTGACGGATGTCGGGACACGTTTAATTTGCTAATTCAGAAATTGCGATAAACCAAGCCTCTTCGCGCCTGTATTTACTGCCAAAAGATCGCAAACAACAAACATGATTGCTAAAAGACTGATCACGATCATTTGTGAGCGCTTTTTGAGCACACATGGTATGACCAGAACACTGCGTTGATGTCGGTATCGGTGATGTTTTGACAGCAGTAAGGGTTCAAACTGTCGTGCTTTGTGAACTTTCTTTCCAAAAAGAAAAAGTCAGGGGTCTCAAACGGCGCGCTTTACTCTCGAGAATCACACGAAGTATCTCCCCTGCAACATGGCGCATGCACGTGTCGTCATGAAATATTTATGATGCGATTGCGCAGTTAGCATTGGAACGTTTATCTCGCATGACGTTTTTATTTTTAAAAAACCCACTTTGTTTCTGCCCATTGGAGCGTTTATCTCTTGCTTCACACTTTCTCTGCGCAGATACACCGTTTGCTTTTCCTGATCGTTTTTAATTAATACCAGAATTTGTTGTTTATGCGAGTTGGAAGATTTTTTCCCCACTCCTCCGCGGTTTCTCTGCTCATTTGCACGCTTTTGTCCCTCTCTGTGCCAATTGGAGGGTTTATCTCATGCTCCACTCTTCCTCCGAGATTTGGCACCGTTTCCGACGCGCGTGCGCAGGTTTTTCTGAGTTTTATGACGTTTTTCTCACTAAACCACGTTGTTTATTGGCAATGCAAAATTTTTAACGCTGCTCCTCGTTTGTATAGTCCGTTTTTCTCACTAGTGCAAATTGGAGCGTTTATCTCACTATTAACCGTTTCTCTGCAAATCTGATGCGTATGCGCGGACCTTTCAGCGGTCCTTCCACGCTTTCACGAGGTATTATTACTCCCATGTTCGCTATTCTGCGTCTTCCTCATTAAAAACATGTTGTTTCTGCCTTTATCTCACTGCTCCACACTTTCTCCTACATTTTCGGACGTTTTTCTCACTGCACCTTCTTCTTTTTGTAGGCGGCGAAGGCGTTCAGTGTTAAATGTTGCGAATAAACTCGACGATCTCGTGGATCGTCGAGGATGTATATACTCAGCAGTGGCGGAAGAATACGGACTGAAGAGAGTCAGTTCTATATCTTATGGTCCAGAAGGGCAGAGACTGTGCCGGAATCTGCAGCTATGGCAGCCGGATCCTGGTGATGTTGCGCTTGGTCACACGCGGGAAGCCGCGACAGACGGATCCCAGTTTCAACTGCGCGAATTGTGAGAGAGGGATGTTGTCCCAGAAGTCTGTGTACCGAGAGGCTAGTAGTAATCGCTTCACTGTCATCTTGCTCTGGCGCGCATGCGCAGCGTGGGTTACGGTACTCGGTTTGTAAGTGTGTCTGTCTGTCTTTCCGTCTGTCGGTTACCACCTTTTCTCCGACTACGCGCAACGAGACAACAAAACAGCGATACCACGGGTTGATCGTAACACTAAAAATGGCGATTTTCGTATAACTGCTGAGTTGAAAAGTTATAGCGTGCGCATCTTGTAGGCACAGGAAGTCACAACAAAGAGCATGTATCGACTCCCACATGCTATCTACTACTGTAGCTATATAGCCCGTGCGCCAGGGTTCATCAATTGGTGCCGCGCATGCGCAGTTCGCCGTTGGTTAGTGCTGCCAATTGGAGCGTTTATTTCACTTCTCCACACTTTGCCTGTTTCTCATGGTGTTTCTGACGTTTTTCTCTCTAAAACCCGTTGTTTATGAGCATTGGAAAAAGAGCGAACGCAGTGAGAAGAACAACGTGTTTTACGAGAAAACGTCGGATAACAGTCAGCATTCGCGGTGCAAATGCCCAGAGAAACTGTGAAGCAGTGCTCTAATTGGCTGAAACAACGTGTTTTAACTTAATTAATCAGAAACATGCCTGAAAGGCCCGCGCATCCTAATCAGAAGCAATGCTCCAATTTTAAGAAACAACGATGTTCGTCAGAAAAGGCAGCGATGCCTGATAAAAAGGAAAAACACTCAAATGCAAACACTCGGCGAACTGCGCATGCGCAATTATGCTAATTGATGCCTTGGCTGTTTTAGGCGTTTACTCGTAGTCTCCCGCTAGTAGAGTCTGACACCGGCTAGCTACAGTAGTAGGAGCCGAGGATCAAGTGGACCCAGCGCGCAACGACTTCCGGAAGCCGCACAAGTGACCGCACCCCCATGCACTTGTCGCGCGCCATAGGCCACGCCCCCCACAACATTGCTCACGCACGAAATTACGGGAGGGGCTGCACTGCTAACTGAAACTGAACAAATCAAGGCCCTTAGAATGGCTTCATTTCTCGAAACAACAGCCCATGAACATGTGGTAGCAAGATGTCAGGCCCTTGGTCTTCTGGTCCAGGTATGCATTTTCGCTTGTTTTCACAGCATGTCTCTCGAAGGCAGTCCTTTCAGAATAATCGTCCAGGTTCGCGTAGGTCTGAAGAGCACCGTTATTTTGCGTTTATCCGCTGTGTTCAGAGCACTAGCACATTTTACTCTGACTATTGTAGGAGTGTGGAGTAGTAATAGCATTTGTAATCCACTTCTGCCTCTCTTTCGTTGTAATAGAGGGGTGTCAACGATATTCCATTTCTTGTGCCGGTAATAATCCGACTATTGTTGGAGTATGGAATAGTAATACACTCAATATTCCAGCACCTATTCATATCTAGGTTTACTGCCTCTCTTTCGTTGCCCTCAAACTAATAACATCTAATAAAATGGTGTCAATGATATTGCGGGAGAATCAGTGCCAGAAGACACAGGCTTACAATCTGCAATACTCTGACTATGTTAAGTACTAATTCACTTATTCTTCCTTTAGTTGTTCCTCTCTTTCGTTACACCAAAACCCACAACATGTAATAAAATGGTGTCAATGATATTACATTTTTTGTGGGAGCATCAGTGCTAGAAGACACAGGCTTACCATCTGCAAGGGTTGAGTATAGCATAGTAATGCTTACTGCTCATATTCTAGTAACCCTTCTTCTTCTCTGTTTCTCTGTCCGAAACTTTCAAACCTTCAATATAAGGGTGTAAACTATTTTGCATTTTTAATGGGAGAATCAGCGTCAGATGACACAAGCTTACCATCTGACTATTGTTGGAGTAACGAGTAGTAATACATTAAATCTTCCTGCACTTTTTGATATCTAATCATTTTGTCTCTCTTTCGCTACCCCTATACCCACAACACCTGATATTACATTTGTTGTGGGAGGAAGACTCAGGCTTTCCATCTGCAATTCTCTGACTATGGTAGTAGAATGGAGTAGTAACACACTCAATCTTCCTGCACTTATTCATGTTTAGCTTTGCTAATCCACTTCTTCCTCTCTTTCGCTTCCCCCAAACCAACAACATCTAATAAAATGATAATGTAGCATTTCTTGTGGGAGCATCGGTTCCAGAAGACACAGGCTTACCATCTGCAATTCTCTGACTATGGTAGGAGTATGAAGTAATAATACACTTTAGTAATCCACTTCTTCCTCTCTTTCGCTGCAACAACATCTTTACTAATCCACTTCTGCCTCTCTTTCGCTACCCCCAAACCAACCTCCCTCTCTGTCGCTATCCCCATACCCACAACATCTGATATTGCATTTTTTATGGGAGCATCAGTGCCTGAAATTCTCGGACTATGGTAGTTAAACACTCAATCTTCCTGCACCAATTCATGTCTAGCTTTACTAATCCACTTCTGCCTCTCTTTTTCTTCCCCCAAACCTACAACACTCTACCATAGTCAGAGTAGTACTGATGGTAAGCCTGTGTCTTCTGGCAGTGATGCTCCCACAAAAAATGCTATATCATAGGAGTATGGAGTAGATATACACTCAATCTTCATGCATCTACTCATATCTAGCTTTAGTGATCCTCTGTTTCGCTGCCCCCAACATTCCAACCTCTAACCTAACCTTCTAACCTCAGTACCAGAAGACACAAGATTACTATCTGTAATACTCTGACTATTGTCGGTAGTAATACACTCAGGCTTACTCATATCTAGGTTTAGTAATCTATTTATGCCTCTCTTTCGCTGCCCCCAAACCTACAACATCGAATAAAAGTTCACCAATGATATTGCATTTTTGTGGGACCATCACAGTCAGAAGACACCGGCTTACCCTGACTATGGCAAGAGTATGGAGTAGAAATACACTCATTCTTCCTCCACCTATTCATATCAAGGTTTAGTGTTCCACTTCTGCTTCTCTTTTGCTGCCCCCAAACCCACAACATCTAATAAAAGGGTGTAAATGATTTTGCATTTTTGGTGGGAATATCAGTGCCAGAAGACACGCTTACCATCTGTTATTCTCTGACTATTGTTTGAGTATGGAGAAGTAATACATTCAATGTTCTTGCACCTATTAATATCTAGCTTTAGTTATAGAGTATGGAGTTAAATCTTCCTCCACCTATGCTTTTGCAATCGTTTTGCCTCCCTTTCTCTTCCCCCAAACCCACAACATCTAATAAAAAGGTGTTATTGATATTGCATTTTTTGTGGGACCATCTGTGCCAACAATACTATGACTATATATTGTTGATAGATGGAGTAATAATACACTCAACCTTCCTGCACTTATTGATAGGTTTTGTAACCATTATGCCTCTCTTTCGCTGCCCCACAACCAACAACATCGATCAATGATATTGCTTTTTTGTTGGAGTATCAGTGCCAGGCTTACAATCAGCAATACTCTGACTATTGTACTATGGAGTAGTAATACACTCAATCTTCCTGCAACTATTCATATCTAGCTTTTGTAATCCATTTCTGCCAATCTTTCGCTGACCCCAAACCCACTACATCTAGCAAAAGGGTGACAATGATATTGCATACACTCAGGCTTCCTGCACCTACTCATATCTAGGTTTAGTATTCTATTTCTGCCTCTCCCCCAAACCTACAACATCCAATAAAAGTTTACCACCGATTATTGCTTGACCATCAGTGGCAAAAGTCAATACTATGACTATTGTTGGTATATGGAGTAGTATATAATTCAGTCAACCTTCCTGCACCTATTGATAGGTTTGTAATCATGATGCCTCTCTTTCGCTGCCCCACAACCCACAACATCGATCATATTGCATTTTTTGTTGGAGCATCAGTGCCATAACACACTGGCTTACAATCTGCCAATTGTTTGAGTATGGAGTAGTAATACAATCAATCTTCCTGCACCGATTCATATCTAGCTTTACTAATTCACTTCTTCCTCTCTTTCGCTGCCCCAAATCCTACAACATCTAATAAACGGGTGTCAATGATATTGCATTTTTTGTGGGAGCATCAGACCCAGAAGACACAGGCTTACCATCAGTAATACTCTGACTATGGTAGGAGTATGGTGTTGAAATACACTTGATCTTCAAGCACCAATTCATATCTAGCTTTAGTGATCCGCTTTTTCCTCTGTTTCGCTGTCCCCAACATTCCAACCTCTAATAAAAGGGTGTAAACGATTTTGCATTTATCGTGGAAGCATCAGTGCCAAAAGACACAAACTTACCATCTTATTCTGTAACACTGAGACTATTGTTTGAATATGGAGAAGTAACACACTCAATCTTCCTGCACCTATTCATATCTAATCCTCTCTGCCTCTCAACATCTAATAAAAAGGTGTCAATGATATTGCATTTTTTGCGGGACCATCAGTACCAGAAGATACCAGCTTATTATAGTAATACATTCATCTTCATGCACCTATTGATATCTAGCTTTACTAATCATTTTGACTATCTTTTAAAAAGGTGTCAATCTTATTGCATTCTTTGTCGGAGCATCAGTGCCAGAACACGCAGGCTAACAATCTGCAATACTCTGACTATTGTAGGACTAGTCATCCACTTCTTCCTCTCTTTTGCTGCCCCCAAATGCACAACATCAATTAAACGATTTTCATTTTTTATGGGAGCATCAGTGCCTGAAGACACACTCTTATATACCATCTGTAATACTCTTACCATTGTTTGAGTATGGAGTAGTAATACTTTCAACGTTGCAGCAACTATGCTTTAGTTTGCCTCCCTTTCCCCGCCCCCACATCAAAGGTGTCAACTATATTGCATTTTAGTTGGACCACCAGTGCAAGACACAGGCTTACCATCAGTAATACTCAGACTATAGTAGGAGTATGGAGTAGAAATACACTTAATCTTCCTTCACCTATTCATATCTAGCTTTAGTGACCCGCTTTTCCCTCTGTTTCCCTGTCCCCAACATTCCAACCTCTAATAAAAGGGTGTGAACGATTTTGAATTCATTGTCGGAGTAAGACACATGCTTGCCATCTGAATATTGTTTGTGTATGGACTAATAAAACATTTAATCTTCCTGCACCTAATTCATATCCAGCTTTAGTAATCCACTTCTGCCTCTCTTTCACTGCACCCAAACCTACAACATCCAATAAAAGGGTGTAAATGATATTTGTTTGCCCATCAGTGCCAAAAGACACAAGCTTAACATCTGTAATACTGTGACTATTGTAGGAGTATGGAGTAGTAATACACTCAATCTTCCTCCACCTATTCATATCTAGGTTTAGTAATTCACTTCTGCCTCTCTTTCGCTGCCCCAAAACCGACAACATCTAATAAAAGTGTGCTAACGATTTTGCATTTTTGTAGGAGCATCAGTGCCACGCTTCACATCTGTAATAGTGTGACTATTGTTTGAATATAGAGTAGTAAAACGTCCAATCTTCCTGTACCTATTCATATCTAGCATTCTTCTTCGTTGCCCCCAAACCTACAACATATAATATCAGTGACAAGACACTGGCTTACCATCTGTAATACTCTGAGTACTGTTTGTAGTAAAATATTCAATCCTCCTGCACCTATTCATATATGGCTTTAGTTATCCGCTTTTCCCTATGTTTCGCTGTCCCCAACATTCCAACCTCTAATAAAAGGGTGCAAACGATTTTGAATTTATTGTGGAAGCATCAGTGCCAGAAGACACACGCTTGCCATCTGTAACACTCTGACTATTGTTTGAGTACAGAGTAGTAAAACATTCAATTTTCATGCACCTATTCATATCTAGCTTTAGTAAACATTTTGCCTCTCTTTAGCTGCCCCGAAACCCACAACATCTAATAAAATGGTGTCAATGATATTGAATTGTTGTGGGAGCATCAGTGACATAAGACACACTCTTACCATCTGTAATACTCTGACTATAGTTTGAGAATGGAGTAGTAAAACATTCAATCTTCCTGCACCTATTCATATCTAGCTATAATAATCCACTTCTGCCTCCCTTTCACTGCCCCTAAACCTACAACATCCAATAAAAGAGTGTCGATGATATTGCTTTTTTTTTGCCCATCAGTGCCAAAAGACACAAGCTTACTATCTGTACTACACTGACTATTGTTGGTATATACATAATACTTTCTGCACCTATTGAGGGGGGATGGGACTTTTTTCAAAGTATATACACACTTTTCTCTGAGTGCCTACGCGAGACTAGCTTACGTTACTCCCTGGAGTCAGCAAACACAGTTGGAGTGACGGCAACGAGACCGCTTTTCGCCTTCGGGCGTCTCGCGAAAATCGCGTATGAACGCATGCGCACGTTGAAATGCGGGCGAGGTTGTTGCGCGCGCGCCCGCTACGCCGGCCGTTTGGTGTGGCTGCTAACAACTAAGCCACGTGTAGTTGATATAAGCTAGCCAAGCAGCGTAGTCACAAACTGACTGCTGCTGAGCCTAGCCAATAATGCATACTAAAGCGCCGCGCACCGGCCTACTTTTTATGCTGTGTTAATTACGTGCGCAGAAAACTTTTCGCGCATGCGCGTTTTTTTCACTTTTGCCCCCTCATTTCCAAACTCCTGCCTACGCCCCTGCTATTGGTAGGTTTAGTAATCATTTTGCCTCTCTTTGACGAACAACATGATATTGCATTTTTTGTGGGACCATTTTGACTCTCTTTCGCTGCCCACAAACAAACAACATCTAATAAACAGTGTCAATGATATTGCATTTTTTGTGGGACCATCAGCGCCAGAAGACACAGGCTTACAATCTGCAAAACTCTGACTATTGTAGGAGTATGGAGTAATATTACACTCAATCTTCCAGCACCGATACATATCCAGCCTTAGTAATCCACTTCTGCCTCTCTTTCCCTGCCCCCAAACCTATAATGTCTAATAAATGATATTGCATTTTTTGTGGGAGAATCAGTGCAACAAACAAGCTTACTATCTTGACTATTGCTTGAGTAGTAGTAATACATTCCATCTTTTCACGACTTCAGTAATCACTTTGCCTCTCTTTCGCTACCACCAAACCAACAACATCTAATAAACAGGTGTCACGCATTTTTGGTTGGACCATCGGTGCCAGAAGTAACAAGATTACTATCTGTAATAACCTGACTTTTGTAGGAGTAGTAATAAACTGAATCTTCCTGCACCAATTCATAGCTTTAGTAATCATTTTACCCTGCCACCAAACCCTTAACATCCAATAAAAAGGTGTCAATGATATTGCATTTTTGTAGGACCATCACACAGGCTTAACATCTGACTATTTTTGGAGTTCTGAGTAGTAATACACTGCACCTATTCATATCAAGGTTTAATGATCCACTTCTACCTCTCCCCCAAACCTACAATTGCATTTTTTGTGGGACCATCAGTACCAGAATATACAAGATTACTGTCTGAAATACTCTGACTATTGTTGGAGTATGGAGCTGCACCTACTCATGTCTTGGTTTAGTAATCCATTTCTGCATCTCTTTCGCTGCCCCCAAACCTATCTCAAGCAATAAAGTTGTACAAGATATGTCCATGACCTTGCACTTTACCTTGCAAAATCATCGTCACAGTCTTGCAGGGCATCTTGTATAAGCAGTAGCTATTTGGCCGCTTTCTTACAAGAACTTGCATCTGTGCAGTAAAAACTTCCACATGAATCTTACAAGATATTTAGACAGACTTCTTGCATGGAAGCATGCAAGATGAAAGTAAGATTCATGCAGGCAGTTACCTCGCATGGTACCTTCTGCAGCTGATAAAAAATACAATATTAGCAAAACATGAAAGTCTGTGTCCATTAATTGTCCAGTCTAGCTTTGAGTTTGGTGACATACGTAGGTGAATGTAACGTTTGTCATTGTAGTAGTCCGTACATTTTTGGGTCATTTTCTTTCGAATTTCTCTATAAGAGCATGTTGACCACATACAGCTACAAAACCTAAAAAAGACCATTAATAAATTTCATTTTCTCAGGATCGAGAGGCTTTATGGTTTCCTTCCTATTGGTATCTTTTGACTTTGTGACCCCGGAGGGGTTTCCATTCACCATTTCTTCAACACTGAAGACACACTCCATTAATTTTAAGGCTGCATTTCCTGGGTCTGACTGCAATTTTGCATTTGCGAGTCTCAGCTTAAAGTATACAGTGGTGTACGCAATTTACCCAACCTGTAACACAACTTACAGGCACATCCTTCGCCTCCTTGGAAGGGTAAGGTGAATGCAGGGATGGACTCATAGACTGGGAATGGTGCTGATCGGCGAAAGTGGTGTCACTTCAGATGGCGATGTAGACGAAAATTCTGGAGTTGTCATTTGTATTAGACGGTTAATTTCAGTAGCCTGTTCCGTAACCTTCAGCTTCAAATTTCTATGTGATCTCTATAATAAAAAAAAGGGTGCTATATAAGGGGGGGGGGGGCTACATGCAAAGTAACATCCGAGCTTCTCCTTAAGTCTTGTGACTTCTGTGGTGATTGGCAAGCCTGGGGACTGATTACAAAAACAATAATATTGACAGTGTTTTTCATTTTATAGATAGTGCCTATCACTGACTTAAAAAGCTCATTTTGGGAGATATTTAGTGCTCGTCTCGCCTCCAAACTCTGCTTTTTTTTGGGTTAAGATGACTTCCTCCTGAAATAGTTGATGTATAGCTTATCATTAAGTATCCACAAATATAACCTCTGAGTCAGATGAACCCTCCACACCTAGCTGCAAGGGAGAAACAAATCTTGTTTTCATCACATTCAATAATTATTACCTTCAGTCTCTTTGCATCAGGTTCAAGCTTTTTCTTCTTCTTTGGAGTACTCTATAGTGTCGAGAATTAATGCTGGACACAAAAACGTATATATACCTTAGCTTCTTTGGAGCTGGGGGTGACTTGCTCCTCCTAAAGAGAGCAATGATACATATACATATAGAAAATAAGTGTCCTTGATTAAACCTCCTCAGATGGCAAATCGGAACTCAGTTGTTTAATTGGTTGCATATTCCGACATTATTTCCCACGTACCTGCATTTATAAAATGGCCATCATACAGATCCATCTGAAGAAAGTGGTGAAAGCTCTTACTGTTGTTTGTTTTGGAATTTTGCTTGGCGTCTTTTTGTAAGTGTCTCCATGCAGTGTTCTAAAAATATGCAGGTCAGAGAACCAGATACATGTACATACAAGTCCAGGCAAAAAATGGGCGATATGAAACACTTTCTTTCCCTAGCAATATTGAAGAAGTCTTAGTAGCTCATTCTCCCTTAAAAGGCTTCCATGTATTTTATGTCACACCTTTTGTTCAGTAGTAGAGCTTCCTTCGGCTCCTTCTCCTCTCTAGAAATAAGAACAAACACACACATGTAAGCACAAAATAGAATGAGAGTTGAAGCCTAAGGGAGTGGCCGCCCATAAATGTCAATTGGATACAGTGAAACAATGCGCTGGTGCAGAGCGTGTGTCGGGATCCAATGTCTACTTTCTTGGCTGTTTAAAGGTATATGGACACAGCAAGCATTTACACTTGCTGATGTCAGCGAGACATGGAGTGGAAACAAGCAATAATTTGTCATATAAAATACCTGGGCAGTTGCCGTAGCAGATTCTCCATTGGAAGGAATACAAAATCCATAACACTTTTATGCATGTCCACAAAGTTTCATGCAGTATATAACACTGTACAAGACCACTGTACATTTACGCAAGCTGTTGCTCGACCCGGACCTAATGCAATATCGTTTCAACCGAGATAAACAGCCTGGAATACTGGCAGACATCTATGACGGGGGTATACGTATACCAGAAGCACTCCAATTTTTTAACATCCTTACCATGTCTCTTTTGCCTTAAATTTTGATGGGGCTCCCAGATTTAAATCCTCAGCTGTTCAAATTTGGCCAGTGATGCTTTCTTTGAATGAACTCCCACCAAACGTCCAGTAATGACACATCTCTATGATTTGTGCATAATTATTAAACATCACACTCTTTTCAGTTGTTGTAGGGCTCATATGTTTCTGGCAGGAATCTGGTGTTCGTCAAAGAAGCCTCCCACAGCTCACTGTTTGAAGGCAGTAGTTGAAGAGCTAGAGTTTCTTGCCACTGAAGGTATGGGCTAAAATTAGTATCATTTTAGATGTATATTATTCACTCCTACAGGGATAAGAGTTAACATTAGGGGGCAGGGGTCAGTAATCTGCAAGCCTCAACTGTTATTAGCTCTGGTTGATTTGCCTGCCAAAGCTGCCCTCTACAATGTGATGGCCGTTTTGGGTGCCCATGCTGTGGTAGGCAATTCAGCTATATAAGTATAGTTTAGTGTTCTGATGTGCAGGTAGCAGTTGGAAGAGGAAGAACGAGGGTATATGTGTACAAGAGAGAGAACAGCAATGCGGAATGGAGTAGAACACTTGGAACATGCTCTTGAAGCAGAGTCAACACATCAGGTACATGCTACAAGCAGTGTGAAGAAGTATTGCGTGATCGCAACATTTTGTAGGCTGTGTTTGGAGTAAAAGGAAGATCAGCTCTTCATGGACTAACTGGCTTTGATGTGATTGACCAAGATCCTGTTGATTACATGCATTGTGTGCTGCTAGGTGTGGTCAGGACACTAATCTCCTTCTGGTTTGACAGCAAATACCACATAGAGTTGTGGTATATACGTGTGTTTGTAACATTTTTCTTGTCCTCAGTAAGGTATAAACACAGTGGAATTAATATATAATCTAATCCCCACGAAATGTCACTCAAACAGCAATCAACCTGGGACAGTACAGGCAAAATGTCTTGAATATGCTGGGTCCCAAGTTCGAGATGACGAAAAATGAACCCTTTTAAAATGAGCACCTAGAGTATGGTTTATTTCCTTGAGTCATGATTCTAGAAACAGCAAGATTCTTGAGTAGGTGTTTTAGGTTGTACAGTGTAATCAGCAGATTAAGTGGCTCAATATTGCACAGCAAATGGAAGCACTGCTACAAAAAAGTCTCGAATGTGAGTGCAGGCTTTAAGAAAAGTTGCAACTATGAGTGCAGCCATCAGAAACGGTCTCAACTTTGAGTGCAGTTTACATGTCTTGAATATCAGTTGAGCAGGTATAGTACACATTTAAAGAGGAACGCCGGATTGAGTATCAATTTTTAAAGAGGGTATTAATTCAATTGTAGTGTTATGGGAAAAACAGGGTATTTTTTGGAGATCCCCAAGATTTTGCACTTTTCAGTACCATACACTCAAGATATCAAACTTAATGACATTAGTCAAAAGTGAAGTGTTCAGCACAAGTGGTGTTTTACCCAGCACTGAGTCCACGGTAGCGTTGAGTCCTGAATTCTTCTTCATTTGAAGGGTGTGCATCCATCAGTGAGTCCCAGGTTTGAAAATTCTCCTCCATACCAACTGTTGAGTCCTCATGTAAGCCACCAGCTGAGTCCCAAGTTCTCTTCCATACCCACTGTTCAGTCCTTATGTACCCACTGTTGAGTCCCAAGTTCTCTTCCGTACCCACTGTTCAGTCCTTATGTACCCACTGTTGCTCTTCTGTACCCACTGTTCAGTCCTTATGTACCCACTGTTGCTCTTCTGTACCCACTGTTCAGTCCTTATGTACCCACTGTTGAGTCCCAAGTTCTGTTCCGTACCCACTGTTCAGTCCTTATGTACCCACTTTCTCAAATGTGAGTCCAACATGTGGCTTACCCTGAACCTTGGTCTCAAACGTGAGTCAAACGTGAGTCCAACACGTGGCTTATCTGGAACCTGGGACTCAAATGTGAGTCCAACACGTGGCTTATCTGGAACCTGGGACTCAAATGTGAGTCCAACACGTGGCTTATCTGGAACCTTGGACTCAAATGTGAGTCCACCACGTGGCTTATCTGGAACCTGGGACTCAAATGTGAGTCCAACACGTGGTTTACCTGGAACCTGGGACTCAAATGTGAGTCCAACACAAATATTGTTGACTCGAATTTCCATTAACATACTTTGACTAAAAATGTTACAATTAAAATTAAGTAAACAAACACTAATCACTCAAGAATTTTAAAGACTAGGGGCAAATTCTTGAGTACAGGTGTCTTATTTTTGAGTAGACCCCAACAATTCCCCTTGCAGAAGAATATTGATTTAATGATCCACTTCTACCTCTGTTTTCACACCACAACATCTAATAAAAGGGTGGAAACGATTTTGCCCATTTTTTTATGGGAGCATCAGTGCCAGAAGAAACACGCTTACAATCTGTAACACTCTGACTATTGTTTGAGTAAAATCTTCCTTCACCTATTCATATCAAGCTTTAGTAATAATTTCACCTCTCTTCCTCTGTTATCAAACCCACAACATCTAATAAAAAGGTGTTAACAATATTGTTGGACAATCAGTGCCAGAAGACACAGGCTTACCATCTGTAATACTCTGACTATTGTTGGAGTATGGAGTAGTAATACATTCAATCTTCCTGCACCTATTATAATATCTATCTCTAGTTATCCATTTCTGCCTCTCTTTCGCTGCCCCCAAACCTACAACATCTAATAAAAGGTGTCAATAATATTGCATTTTTGTGGGACCATCAATACCAGAAGACACAAGATTACTATCTGATTATTGTTGGAGTATGGAGAAGTAATACACTCAGGCTTCCCGCACCTACTCTTTCTGCCTCTCTTTTGCTGCCCCCAAACCTACAACATCGAATAAAAGTGTATTGCATTTTTTGCGGGAGTATCAGTGCCAGAAGACACAGGCTTACAATATGTAGTACTCTGACTATTGTTTAAGTATGGATTAGTAAAACATTCATCTTCCAGCACCTATTGATATCTAGCTTTAGTAATCATTTTGACTCTCTTTCGCTGCCCACAAACGAACAACATCTAATAAAAAGGTGTCAATGATATTGCATTTTTTGTGGGACCATCAGTGCCAGAAGACACAGGCTTACCACCTGTAATACTCTGATGATTTGTGGAGTGTGGAGTAGTAATACACTCACGCTTCCTGCACCTATTCATATGTAGGTTTAGAAATCCACTTCTGCCTCTCTTTTGCTGCCCAAAAACCCACACCATCTAATAAAAGGGTGTCAATGATATTGCATTTTTCGTGGGAGCATCAGTGCCAGAACTCACAGGCTAACAAGCTGCAATTCTCTGACTATTGTAGGAGTATGGAGTAGTAATAAATCACACTCAATCCTCCTGCACCTATTCATATTCAGCTTTAGTAATCCACTTCTAGCTCTCTTCAAAACCGACAATGTCTAATAAAAGGTTGTCAATGATATTGTATTTTTTGTGGGAGCATCAGTGCAAGAAAACACAAGCTTACTATCTAAAATACTCTGACTATTGTTTGAGTATGGAGTAGTAATACATTCAATCTTCTTATAGCTTTATTGATCATTTTGCCTCTCTTTGTGGGACCGTCAGTGCCAGAAGACACAGGCTTACCATCAGTAATACTCTGACTACGGCCGGGAGTAGACACACTCAATGTTCCTGCACCTATTGATATCAAGGTTTAGTGATCCACTTCAGCGTCTCTTTCCTGCCCCCAAACCCACAACAAGTGTGCAAACAATTTTGCCCATTTTTTGTGTGAACATCAGTACCAGAAGACACAGGCTTACCGTATGTAATACTCTTACTATTGTTGGAGTATGCAGTTGTAACACACTCAATCTTCCTGCACCTATTCATATCTAGCTTTAGTAATCCACTTCTGCCACTCTATCCCTACCCCCAAACTTGCAAAATGCAAGACAGTGCATGATCTTGCTTTTTAAGCAAGATTTAGCAGAATCTTGCTTTGTTTATTGCAAGGGTTTTCAAGATATTTTCTTACTTGAAAGATTCTTGCTCACCAAACTTGCAAAATGCAAGACTGTGCATGATCTTGCTATTTAAGCAAGATTTAGCTTGCATGGTGTTTCAGCCTGATATACAACATCTAATAAAAGTTTATCAATGATATTGCATTTTTTGCGGGAGCATCAGTGCCAGAAGACACAGGCTTACCATCTGTAATACTCTGACTATTTTTGGAGTATGGAGTAGTAATACATTCAATATTCTTGCACCTATTAATATCTAGCTTTACTAATCCACTTCTGCCTCTCTTTCGCACCCACAACATCTAAAAAAGGGTGTCAATGATATTGCATTTTTTGTTTGCCTATCAGTGCCAAAATACACATCTGTAAAACTCTTACTGTTGTTGGAGTATGAAGTAGTAACACACTCAGTCTTCCTTCACCTATTCATATCTAGCTTTAGTGACCCTCTGTTTCGCTGTCCCAAACATTCCAACCTCTAATAAAAGGGTGCAAACCATTTTGCATTTTTTGTGGGACCATCAGTACAAGTAGGCACTGTAATACTCTAACTATGGTTTGAGTGAGGATTGATATCTAGATTTGGTAATCATTTTGACTCTTTTTCGCTGCCCACAAACCCACGACAACTAATAAAAGGGTATCAATGATATTGCATTTTTTGTGGGAGAATCAGTGTCAGGAGACACAAGATTACTATCTATAATACTCTCACTATTGTTTGAGTATGGAGTAGTAATACATTCTATCTTCTCATAGCTTTAGTAATCATTTTGCCTCTCTTTCTCTGCCACCAAACCCACAGCATCTAATAAACAGCTGTCACTGATATTGCATTTTTGTTTGGACCATCGGTGCCAGAAGACAAGATTACTATCTGTAATAACCTGACTTTTGTAGGAGTAGTAACACTCTGCACAAATTCATAGCTTTAGTAATCATTTTGCCCCTCTTTCACAGCCACCAAACCCACAACATCCTATAAAAGGTGTGAATTATACTGTATCTTTTGTAGGACCATCAGTGCCAGAAGACACAGACTTAACATCTGTAATACTCTGACTATTGTTGGAGTTCTGAGTAGTAATACACTCAATCTTCCTGCACCTATTCATATCAAGGTTTAATGATCCACTTCTACCTCTCTTTCGCTGCCCCAAATCCTACAACATCTAATAAACGGGTGTCAATCATATTGCATTTTTTGTGGGTGCATCAGTGCCAGAAGACACATGCAGGCTTACCATCTGTAATACTCTGATAATTGTTGGAGTATGGAGTAACACATTCAATCTTCTTGCACCTATCTATATCTAGCTTAGTTATCGACTTCTGCCTCTCTTTCGCTGCCCCCAAACCTACAACATCTAATAAAAGGGTGTCAATGATATTGCATTTGTTGTCAGACCATCCGCCATAGGCTTACCATCTCTAATACTCTGACTATTGTTGGAGTATGGAGTAGTATTACATTCAATCTTCTTGCACCTATTAATATCTCTCTTTAGTAATCCACTCCTGCCTCTCTTTCGTTGCCCCCAAACCTACAACATCTAATAAAAAGTTGTCAATGCAGATATTGCATTTTTGTGGGACCATCCCTCACAAGATTACTATCCGAGTATGGTTGGAGTATATAGTAGTAATACACTCAGGCTCCCTGCACCTACTCATATCTAGGTTTAGTAATCCATTTCTGCCTCTCTTTCGCTGCCCCCAAACAAACAATGTCTAATAGAGAGATGTCAATGATATTGCATTTTTTGTGGGACCATCAGTGCCAGAAGACACAGGGTTACCACCTGTAATACTCTGTGACTGGTGGAGTATGGAGTATAGTAATACACTCAGGCTTCCTGCACCTATTCATATGTATATATGTTTAGTAATCCACTTCTGCCTCTCTTTCGCAGCCCCAAAACCCACACCATTGATATTGCATTTTTTGTGGGACATCAGTGCCAGAACTTACACGCTTACAATCTGCAATTCTCTGACTATTGTAGGAGTATGGAGTAGTAATACACTCAATCTTCCTGCACCTATCCTTTAGTACTGCACTTCTGCATCGCAACCAAACCGACAACATCTAATAAAAGGTTATCAATGATATTGTACTTTTTGTGGGAGTATCAGTGCCAGAACACACAAGCTTACTCTCTGTAATACTCTGACTATTGTTTGAGTATGGAGTAGTAATCAAGCTTTAGTAATCAATTTGCATCTCTTTGTAGGACCATCAATGCCAGAAGACACAGGCTTACAATCAGTAATACTCTGGAGTAAAGAGTAGAAATACACTCAATCTTCCTGCACCTATTCATATCAAGGTTTAATGATCCATTTCTGCGCTGCCCCCAAACCCACAACATCTAATAAAAAGGTGTCAATGATATTCAATTTTTTGTGGGACTATCAGTGCCAGAAGACACAGGCTTACAACCTGTAATACTCTGACGATTGGTGGAGAATGGAGTTTTTAAAAATACACTCAGGTTCCTGCATCTATTCACATGTAGGTTTAGTGATCCTCAGCTTTTGCCTCTCTTTCGCTGCCCAAAAACCCACACCATCTAATAAAAGGGTGTCAGTGATATTGCATTTTTTGTGGGAGCATCAGTGCCAGAACTCACAGGCTTACAATCTGAAATTCTCTGACTATTGTAGGAGTCATCTTCCTGCACCTATTCATATCCAGCTTTAGTAATCCACTTCTAGCTCTCAACCAAACCGACAACGTCTAATAAAAGGTTATCAACGATATTGTATATTTTGTCGGAGCGTCAGTGCCAGAAGGAACAAGCTTACTATCTGTAATAATCTGACTATTGTTTTAGTATGGTGTAGTAATACGTTCAATCTTCTCATAGCTTTAGTAATCATTTTGCCTCTCTTTGTTGGACCATCAGTGCCAGAAGACACAGGCTTACAATGAGTACTACAGTAGGAGTATGCACTCAGGCTTCCTGGACCTATTCATATGTAGGTTTCTGCGTCTCTTTTCCTGCCCCCAAACCAACAACATCTAATAAACGGGTGTCAATGATATTGCATTTTTTGTGGGAGCATCAGTGCCAGAAGACACAGGCTTACCATCTGTAATACTCTCACTATTGTTTGAGTATGGAGTAGTAATACATTTCATCTTCTTGCACCTATTAATATCTAGCTTTAGTTATCCTCTTCTGTCTCTCTTTCGCTGCCCCCAAACCTACAACATTTAATAAAGGGTGTCATGATATTGCATTTGTTGTCTGACCATCAGCGCTAGAACACATAGGCTTACCATCTCTAATACTCTGACTATTTTTGGAGTATGGAGTAGTAATACATTTAATCTTCCTGCACCTATTAATATCTAACTTTAGTAACCCACTTCTGCCTCTCTTTCGTTGCCTGGGACCAGAAGACACAGGCTTACCATCAGTTATACTCTGACTACGGTAGGAGTAAGGAGTAGAAATACACTCAACCTTCCTTATCAAGATTTAATGATCCACTTCTGCGTCTCTTTTCTTGCCCCCAAACCCACAACATGTGATATTGGGATTTTTTGTGGGACCATCAGTGCCAGAAGTCACAGGCTTACCACCTGTAATACTCTGATGATCGGTGGAGTATGGAGTTGTAATACACTCAGGCTTCCTGCACCCATTCATATGTAGGTTTGGTAATCCACTGCTGCCACTCTTTCGCTGCCCCAAAACCCACACGATCTAATAAAAGGGTGTCAATGATATTGCATTTTTTGTGGGAGCATCAGTGCCAGAACTCACAGGCTTATTCCTATCTAGCTGTATTAATCCCATTTTGCTGCCCCCACCTCTAAGGTGTCAACAATTTTGCATTTTTTGTGGGAGCATCTCATTGAAGTATGGAATAGCGTTTGTATGTTTTCTAACGCTTTTCCACATGATTTTCTTACTGCTCATCGCTTTTTCTGCAAATTTGCCAAGTTTTTCAGCGCATGTGTGCATTTGTGCACGCTTCTCTAAATATTTATGGAATTTACACTTTTTTGCGTTTTCTTACTGCTCATTGGTTCTAGTGCGCATTTAAGTCTTTGCAAATTTTTTTTATGCGCATTCAAACGTTTTCATGCATTTGTGTCCCTGCTCTTCCCTTTTTCTTCGTATTTGAAGCTTTTTCTGCACTCGCGAACTTTTTTATGCATCCAAGCTCTACGTTTTTTTGCGTGACTGCTATTTGATTTTTGCACATTTTGGTTGTTTTCTTAGGTTTCAAATTATTTTGCGCATTTGAATATTTTGGAACGCCATAAAGGGATGAAGGGAGTATATACAACTCCCAGATAAAGTATTACTGACGAGAGTAAGTGAAGACAAATGACTTCACGCTGTGATGAATGTTAGGGTTCAGTTCAGTGTCGAGAGAGGTCAGGCTGGTAGGACCAGTTACGTGAGAGTGTGACAAGTGCTCTATAAAACTGACATGTTATGGAATGACGGTCCAGCAGAGAGGGACAGGTGTAGTGAGTAGCCTGTAGAAGCTGCTTTACACAATGCCAGTCCAGAATTGGCCTCCATCTCTTACTACTTCCTACGCCAATTTATCCCCTTTGCCCACTTTACTCTCGAGGGTGGAGAGCATGTCGGCTGCTTTTATAGATTTTAGTTGAGTTTTAACAGCTGTTTCCAGTGTTGCTGAGGACATATTATGCTGTAGAGTGTGTACCAAGAGTGCAGTCTAAATATATGCATTGCTGAACAATGGAGATGTTGCAGATGTTGTGGGAGGCATGGTTCTGAAGGTTTTGGTAGCAATGTTATCTCTATCATGTGAGTGGTTCTCCCAGGAAGTATAGCTTCTGGGACTGGAGCCTTGCCTTCATAGTTGGCCAGAGAGCCCGATTAAAGTTAATACCATTGAGTGGTTCTTTGAAAGTTAGAGGATTCTTCTACTCAACTCAGCTTGAAACCGCTCTATTCCTGCGCATGCGTATGTTTTCATATGCTTTTCCTGCTAACGTTCACGTTATAGGACTTTTTTTCTGCACATGTGCCAGTTTATATGCATTATATGCATTTTTCTGCACATGGACACATTTCTTTTCATTTGCGCAGTTAATTTCAAGGTTTCTGCATATTTGGAATTTTTCCTGCGCATTCACAACTTTTTTTGTTTCCGCATGCTTTTCTCACTGCGCTACAAACATTTGCCAGTTTTTGCATTTTATTCTGGGCATGCCCACATTCATATATGTTTGTTCACGACTTTTTCACTTTTTTCACTGATACACTCCCTTTTTGCAAGTTAGTGGAATTATTTTCACCGCATACACACATTTTTATGCGTTCGCACAAACGGTTTTTTACTGCTCTTTATGTGCATTTACATTTTTACTGTGCATGCACAGGTTTTTTACTGCTTTTTATGCGTTTATACAAATGTTATGATTACAGCACTTCTTTATGCGTCTTCACGTATTTACACGTATTTTGAATGTGCGTTTTTTTTTTTATGCGTGATAGCTCCTCATTTGCACAATTGTTTGCACTTGTGCACGTTCTTCTAACTGCTCTACGCTTCTTCTGCGCATTTGCACTTTTATGAGTGAAGTGAGCTTTGCCCCCAATGTAGAGTGGTTAAAGAAATGAGGATTTCACACAAAGAAGTGTTAGTGTCAGGTTGAGAGTCGTGTGAGAGGAGGTCAGTATCAACAGACCTGGGAGCATCATTCTCAATTAGTGTTTTTGCAGATGAGCACGTTTTTATACACACTGTTCTATACTTTTCTGTGGATGTCAGCAAATACTTGTGGGTACCGTAAGTTACTCTTGGTCCGCGATAAGTTGACTGAAGTACGAGGCCTTTATTTGACACTTTGCCCTTGATTTGTGCTACTTTGTATAGCACTCTGCTCCGACTGCTTATTATTAGTGGTAAATGGATTAATTTTTACTTGCACTTCATACTTCACTTATGATTTATGATTTTATGTACTCATCTGCATGTGCATAGGTACAAGTTAAGATGAAACACAATACGGAAGTATGTGTGTGTCTGTGTTTGTGCGTGTGCGGGTGGTGCTCTCTACTACGAAAAATTAAATCTGATTATGAATGACAGGCAAAGTCAAATACGTCTCCTTTCCTTTGTTGTGGGTCTAAACGATGACATCATGTGCTGCAAAATAAAAACTTGTACAAATGTGGTACGATGCACACCAAAATTAATAGTGCAAGAGCAAAGTGACCTCCACTGGTTACAAGTGCATACGACCTTGTTGTTATATGTAACATTGGCCATTTGGAGAAACTCCTGTCAGTACTAAACTACACATTGTGGATGATGCAGCCTATGTCTGCTTGCTATGATACTTCAGAAACACTAGGTCACTTAAAATCCTCATGGTAATGTCCAAGGCTGTGCAATCTAGTTTGAGATATATCTGAGGGGAGATATTGGCATTTTCGAGAAGTCTAGGCTCCAGAATTATGTTGTCCGCAGTGCATTATTTCGTGTCCAGTGAAGCCCCTTTAAAATAATTCTTAACTTACTGTAGTTGGGGTTAAGAAATCTGTTGGTACATGAGTATCCTTTGCTAGAAGGAAATGAAAGTACACATAAAAAGCACGAAACAAAAGAACAAAAGAAGCACAGATAATGTAGGCTGTACCAGGGAGTCTGGGTTGGAGCTTACTGACTGAGCTACGTATAGGTTGTACGATGGCGGCGCGTGATCTACTTGTTATACACGAGTGGCCAGTTTTGGATAGGACACGAGGGCACAGCCTGAGTCGTGTACCAAAACTGAAGCCACAAGTATGTAACCAGTAGACCACAAGCAAAGCCATCGTACGTGTTTGTATGATGACATGCGAGATAAGGCTCTGACCAATGAGATTCCGCAAAAGCTTTTAAAATGCCTTCGTTTTAACGCACACCACCTCGTAACAATGCGGATAGAGCTAGCATGCAAAGAGAGACGGCTGTGATAAGTGCTTTAGTTTATAGTTAAGCTGCACGTCGTTCTTGTTATTCAGTTTAGACAAGAAAACCACATACGATATGGAGATGAAACTTTGCACAATGATCGGAATCCGTGACCCAGCATGCAAGACCATTTTAATTTGCTTGTAAACAACAACAAAAAACAAATAGCCCCAGGCCATACATTATGATATGGACCAATGAAGTGTGCTAACTAGGTAGAGCAAATTCCCAGAATGATAAAACTTTGTACACACATGCAACCCATCATTAGTATTAAAATGTAAACATTACAAGTTTGTAAACAACAACAAACAGCCACAGGCAATAAAAAGTTGTAAAATGTGTTTGTGCCTATAACTTGCCTATAACAATGAAACTTGGTACGCTGATGTACCATGATGAGAGTTCATCGAAACAAGTTTTAAACAACAACGAACAGCTTTAGGTTATAAACAATTGTATATGGTGTTTGTGCCTATAACTTACTTATGGTTGGTCCTCTCACAATGAAACTTGGTGCACTGATGTAACGTGAATGACGACAAAACGTCTGAGGCGATAGCTTAAGGCCACTAATGCTAATTTTTATGGGCTTATGCCAAACTTTTTATTGCATATCATGCATGTGAAAAAAGGAAAGGAGACAAGTAAATAAAATATTGTTCGAATTAAAAAAGTGTGCAATATAGGCATAAAAAGCAAGGAGACAAGACAGGGATGACCTAGTGAACGTGATGCAGTAGTTAATGGATGATGGCTACATACTTTGAACTGACATCGCTTGCTCCTGTAAATTTCCTCTATATACACAAGCCATATATTGTCGCCACCTTTACTGTTAGTTCAGCAAATTAGACTTCACACAATGCAGTCACAACTGAAAACCAAGCAGATGGTATTACTTGTCTAATGTGCTTATGAAATAAATCATAGCTGTGCATTATATATACAAGGGAGCACACTCGTACTTCGCGACAATACAGGGCTTGTGTGAAGGAAAAATTTACAGGAGCAAGCGATGTCAGCTCAAAGTATATATGTAGCCATCATCCATTGTACTACTGCATCACGTTTTCACTAGGTCTTCCTGTCTTGTCTCGTTTTTATGGCATCCCTATATTTCGAACAATTTTTTATTTACTTGTAAGTTATAAAACCACTGTGGTTATGCAAATGAGCTACAGTACGTGGAAATTGTATGGCCTCTCTATGTTCTATCTACGATAGACTGGGCAGGACTAGGGAGGAAGCGCTCACAGTGCTATCTACATTCTTTGTACTAGCTGGAATTCCTTTGATCTTACTACTAGTCATCATACAACCTAAGGTACAACAAATATTACCTCTGCTTAATCTACCCTCAGCCATTGTAACATGAATAGCCAAAAGCGATGTTTCATTCCAAATCTATTTTGCTTCGTTCATAGTGAATATACCCTCCTAGCCTCTATGGTGTCCTTAAATGGGCCTGCATACGCACTACTGGGCCTCAAAAATCAACTTACTGTTTATAGCTATGGAGGTAGACTCTGCAGATTGGTTAGTTGTTTATCTGCTCCGTTCCACGTGTCTCCTGAGCATTTGCAAGTTTTTTCACTTCTCTACATTCTTTCGCACATTTTTAACCGTTCTAGGTTTTTTTAATTGCTGATTAGCACTGTTTCCATGTTCGTATTTAATATTCACACATTCTTCTTAGTTTTCACACTTTTGTACGCATTTGCACCGTTGTTTTTACGTTTATCTGCTCTGTTCCACGTATTTCCTGAGCATTTGCACGTTTTCTCACTTTTCTACGGTTTTGCGCAAATTTTTAATGACGAATAAAGCACTGGCTGTGCCTTTGATCTGCCAACGCAAAGTACAATAAATGATTCTAAATTAACACGAAAAAACTGAATGTTCGCATAGCTTGCCAAGAATGCGTTGCATTCATTTCAGTTACCTTGTGTCATTTCAGCTATACATTTTTTTCTCTGCTGTAACTTATCTCGAACATCTGACACATCCTCATATTCTGGTGCATAGCAGAGATGCAGTGCTTTTCCATAAAATGAATGGTTGTCTAGCTTCCGCTTTGCAATCCTTGCTGAGACAATATTAGAATACTTTACCCAGTAGGCATCACAGTAGTCCTCTGTTGGAAACTCATCCAACACTCTATACCTACATCATATAAATAATGCATGAGCTCTTTGCTAGTATTTTTTGTAGTGCATAGTTGTACTGGGCTTATAAGGCCACTAGTGGTATATACTAATAGTGGAAATGAAAAAGTAAGCTTTGGTGGCCATTCTAAACAGTGCAAAACTATGGTTTGAAACAGATTAACAGTTGCTGGAAACATCTCTATCGTACTCCTTGTGGTATTCTCAGGGATATAAAGTAGTGTGGGGTAAAAGCAGTTAAGAAAGTTAATGGGGGAGAGATAGGAGAGAGAAATGATGAGAGAAGCGTTTCTACTGGGACCTCAATACTTACTGATACCCCCTCCCTCTTTATCACTAAGTACGGCAGTACTTAGTATATAGGGATTGGCATGGCACCTAACATCATAGATGTATCGGGCTATGATAGGGAGCTTTGTTCATCTTCTCCTTCTTCTTCTTCAGATTTAACTCGCGTAACTCCAAAACGAATATAGTAATCACTAAGTACGGTAGTACTTAGTATATAGCATTTTGCCCATACATTTGAGATTTTCATGCTCCACTTTAAGTTTCAATCAGGTCCAACTTTTGACACATCAGACTGATCCGTATCGTCACAAAGAGCATGTATCCAAGAAATGGCTTATATCGCATAATAGGTACTTGATTTATTCAAGTTTAGACATGCAGTATCTCAAAAACCACTTAGGATATGGAGATGAAAATTTACCCAAAGATTGGAATCCGTAATCCGGCATGCAAGAGCATTTTTACTTCTTCGTAAACGATTTTGTTTTCATGTTAACAACAACAAAAAAAAATAGCCCCAGGCAATCAATGCGCACGCGCATATTTTGCCTCGCGCCTGCCAGCCAATGCGTAAACAGTCCGACTGAGGCCGCTCGTGTGCGCGCTCTACTGACTGCACGCGAAGCCAGACTTCCTACGAATCTGCGCGCACGGCGGAAGCTAGACTTCCTACGAATGACGGAAGTTGACATTCCTAAGCGTGACTAATTGACATTCTTAAGCGTGACCGACACGTACATACGTACGCATATCGGGAGAATAAAACCTGGAGTAGTTGCCTCACGCTAACGCGCTCGGCAATGATAGAGACAAATAAACTGTGCTAACTAGGTAAAGCTAATACCAAGAGTGATAAAACTTTGTACACATATACAATCCATTATTAGTAACAAAATGTAAACATTACAAGTTTGTAAACAACAACAAACAGCCTCAGGCAATTAAAACTTGTAAAATGTGTTTTTGCCTATAACTTGCTTATGATGACAATGAAACTTGGTACACTGATGTACCATGATGAGAGTTCATCGGAACAGAAATTACAAGTTTTAAACAACAACAAACAGCCTCAGGCAATAAACACTTGTAAATGTGCCTATAAATTACTTGTGGTTGATCCTCTAACAATGGAACTTGGTACACTGATGTACCATGATGAGAGTTCATTGAAACAGAAATTAAAAGCTTGTTAACAACAACGAACAGCCTTAGGCAAAAAAGAGTTAAATGGTACCAGTGCCTATAACTTGGATCCTCTCACAATGAAACTTGGTGCACTGATGTAATGCGAATGACGCAAAACTTATGAGGCGATGCCCAAAAATATCCCCTTTTTATATGTACACCATGCATGTGAATGTGGAGACAAGTAAATAAAAAATTCTTCTAAATGAAAAAATGTGTGGAATATAGGGATGCCATAAAAAGTAAGGAGACAAGACAGGAATGACCTAGTGAACATAATGCAGTAGTACAATGGATGATGGATGGCTACATATTTTGACTGACATCGCTTGCTCGTGTAAAATTTCCTCCACCTGAAATTTTGTAAGAATGTAGATATCTGTCACCAGAAGAGACTGGTCATACTAACATTGGTCATACTTGTTTGTTTGTAAACAACATTGTTTACTGTGATCCCATTATAATGTATTGCCTGGGTGTCAGTATAACTCACACACGGGAAGAGCTGTGAACGAAACTTTGTAGACATAATTTATTCAATGACCAACATAAAATCACACTTGTAAACAACAACAAATAGCCTCGGGCACTTTTCTTTAAATTTACTTCTTCACTCCTCAAACTTTCCAATGTTAGCACACATAGAGATGAAACTTGGTATATTTATTTGCCTTAACACCTGCACTCAGTTATTTACATATTAATTATATTTACATCTTAATTAATAAACTGTGGCTGATGGAACCAACATAGTTCTACCTCAAATAGTTCCCTGTTCTTAATTAGTTATTTGGGGGATCAGTGGCTTGTGGGGACATCGGAAGGTCGTGAACCAAGCCTTCATCGGACTCCTTTATAAGGCCCGTGGCCTTTTCCGAGTAGATAGCCCAGCGGGCTCCTTGTTCTACCACTATAGAGAGCCGTGTCCTCTTCTGGCATCGAGCGGCAGCCGATGTCTTCCCCTGACATTGTAAGTAATTATGTATGGAAACTACCCTTGCCCCATGTGTACCCTAAGCTTGTGAAAGGGAGGGGGGTGGGTAGCTTGAAGTTTGCCTAGTGTGCTCCGGTGCGTGTGCAGACTGGCATTCCTCGATAGGGCTTAGCCCTTTTCAGGCTGCAGAACCAGAGCCCCACCGTTCTTTGTGCATGTGTTAACTATGTTACCTATGCCTATGTAACGTCCTGGTGGTCAGGACCGGGCCTGTGTTGCCAGTGCAGGGGCCACCCTCATTAGTGCCTTCCGCGGGGAGCGGATGTACCGCTGGTAGGCTGTACTCTTCCAGCGGCCCGCGGCCTGGATGAGCCAGCTAGGGAGGCCCGAGGCTGCCGCATCTGTGGCTGCGCCGATACGTAGGTTGTGGGTGCCGTACCGCTCTGCCTCTTGCCTTGACAGGCCCGTGGCCTGAAGGAGTCTCCGGATTACATTGGTGAGACGTGACCTGGTGAGGAACTGTCCTGAGCTGAGAGTGAAGAGAGGCTGGGTGGGTCGGTGGTGGGCATGGGCCAAGAACCGCCCCATAGCCTTGACGGGGCAGGTAGGAGTTCCTATTGTTGCCACTGGTAGAGTGCAGGTGGCTCGAAAGGTGTCTGACTTGGAGGCTTTGATGGTTACAGAGAGGTAACCTCTGTGCAGGTGCAGATCACACCTGAGTAGGTGTCTGGTGGGGGAGTATTGAGTAGAAGTAGGTGATGTAAACTCTGATACTTGCAGGAAGGGTGGAACCCCAGGGAAGCCGTCTAATCAACTGAAGGTAGGTGTAAATGACCCAGGTGTTGCTGCAGCTCAGCCAGCTTGGCTGCTGACAGTGGCAGTCTCACTCTGCGCTTGGTTCCTTGGTGTCATTTACCTTTGCAAAGGTAAGCCAGAAGGGGCCTCTGCGCAAGAGGATCTGTGTGACCCAATTGTAGGTGGTGGTGCCTGATGGCTGCCAGGTACACTAAGATGGTTGCGTGTGAGAGGGTCTTGTATGCGTGTGCACAGAAGTATCGGAGTGTGAGCTCCGAGGCCGGCCATGGGGAGAGATCATATAGCCTGCAAAACTGCTGGTAATGGTGGACACCCACCCGGTACGTCTGCCTGGTTGAGGGAGCGATACCCAGTGACTGGAGGTGTTCCAGTTTCCGGGTTAGCAGTCTATCTTGAAGGCAGGGGTGGGAGTGGGGTCTGTGTCTGCATCTGTGGAACTGGGACCGAGAGAGAGAGTCAGCAATACTGTTGTCATTACCCTGAATGTGCTGCAAGAGAATGGTGAAATTGTGTGTGGCGGCTGACAGAAAGAGCGTTCTGACCAGGGCCATGAGATCGCTGTTCTTGGAGGTGCCCCCCAGCCATACGTGGACAACTGCCTGGTTGTCGCAGTGGACAAGGAGCCGTTCCCTTGCCCATTGTTCACCCCAGGTGTGGGCTGCTGCGACGACTGTGTATAGCTCTCTCCACTGAATGTCTTTGCAGTGCTGCTTGGTTGACCAAGTCCCTTGCAGCCAATAGCCTGCCCAGTAGGCTTAAAGTCATGGTCGCTGGCGTCAGTGAAGAGTTGGAATGCTTGGGATGGGGTCCCGGTAGGATCAAGGAAGAGCGCCTTAACGTTCCAGTTTGAGGCAAATGTAAGCCACCAACGAATGTCAGCTTTGCTAGCCCGAGAGAGGTGGAGATGGTGGTGGAGGCAGCGAGTGCGAGTACTGCCATCGATGAGTCTACGTGTGAAGAGCCTACCCGCTGGAATTAACTTTCGCCGCAAAGGCTAGCTTGCCGATCAGTGAGAGCAGGTTCAGCTTTGTGCATTTGTCTATGGTGGAATAAGTGTGCAGATCATGCATTAAGGCTCTGAGTTTGTCTTGGGGGAGGCTGATTGTTTTTCTGATGGTGTCTAACTCAACACCCAGAAAGGTGATTTTTGTAGTAGATGGTGTCCGTTTTTCATCCTTGGTGGCCACCCAAAGTAGGCTACACAAGGACTCAATCCCGTTGAAGGTGGTAGAGCAAGTGGTGGTTTCTGCTGGTCCAGCTATGAAGAAGTCATCCAAGTAATGTATTATGTTAGGATTGTGCAATTGGTGCCTGAAAACGTACTCTAGTGCAGTGGCGAAGGTGTCAAAAAGGAAAGGGTAGGAGCGGAGCTCAAATGGGAGGCACTTGTTGTAGTAAAATTGATCACTCCACTGGAGGCCTAATAGGTGCCAGTCAGCTTGCCTAACTGGGCATTGTCAAAACGCTCGCTTAAGGTCTATCTTAGCCAAAAGAGTGCCGCGACCAAGCTGTTGAGGAATTCGAACTGCATCGTCAACTGTAGTGTAGCTGAGAGTAACTGCCTCCGGGTCGATGAAGTCATTGATGCTAAGGCCAGCAGGGGCCGAGAGGTGCGTAATCACACGCCAAGTCCTGTCCTGTTTGGGTACCACGCCGAGTCCAGCGCAGTGGAAAGGAGAGAATGGGGGATGTGAAAAGGGGTCTGCCATCCGTCCAGCACTACACTCCTTGTGGAGGTAGTCATCGATCACCTTGGGGTGAATCAGGGCTGATGGCAGGTTTGGTGCTCGCACGTCTAAGTGTGGCCCCTGATAGCCTATGTCAAAGCCGTGGGTGAGGTGAGAAACGAGAGTATCTACGTACTGCCTGTTGGGGTGATGGTACAGGTATTGCGCAAGAAGGAGCGGTCGTACGGAGTCGGAGGCGGGGTCACTGGGGGCGGCCCGCCGTGAGTGTTGGCCGCCAGAGTAAGTGCACGTGTGGAGGTAGGGGCAGCGGTTGCCACGAAAACAACGACCCTTATCATTGAAGATGTAGCATGGCTCCTGCTGCTGGTCCCCAGTGCTGGTGGTGGGTAGTCAGGAAGGCACGTCTGGTTTAGGACCAGTTGAAGAGGGGATGGAGCGTCTTTGCTGAGGGCAAGCAGCGTACAGGTGGGTAAGGCTCCCACAAGCGAAGCAGGCCATGGGGGTTGGTGTGGGGAGAGTGGATC